ATCATCCGGCATATACTTCTTTCAATAACCGTCAAAACGAAAAAAAATCACCAAATTATACCTGAACCTCTTGCATTTTCAACTCAAAGCGAATGAATTCAAGGGTGATATTTGTGGTCAGTAACTTCGCCTGGACTACTAGCTTTTTAGTCCTCCAGAGTCTAAAGCCCCGGAAAACAGCGAGGATCCGGTGTCAGGGTACACACTCAAACCCTGAAAATCAATCTAATCTCTTCAGAAACTACAAACCACAAGAAAAATACGAAAAACGAACTTATTCATCACTGAGATTCGAGAGACGAAATCACACAACAGGCTGGTGAAACCCCGACTTCGGAAAGCCAGTCAGCCAATGTATCTTTTCTCCATGAAAGGAAAGATAAGCACCTTGACATGGAATGTTTGTACAATGTACGAAGCCGGCTGGGAAGGCTTCCCAGATAGCCAAAGAAATGAGAAGATATAGTATAGAGGTGCTCGGAATCTGCTACAGTAGATGGAATGGATGTGGACTGTCGAAACGGTCAACCGGAGAGTCAGTAATCTATTGAGGCAGTGAGTGACCATCATGATGTCACCAACAGCAACCAAAGCTCTTATGCAGTGACAGCCAGTCTCCTCCAAAAGGATAATCACAGCAACATCCAACTCACAAGGAAGGAAGGAATGTCACAATTATCCAATGATACGCACAGTGCTACAAACAACACGGAATAAGACAAGAAGGAAGATTTCTATAGACAAGTGCACCAAATGGTGATATCAAAATCCTCATAGGCGATATGAATTGCAGCTAAACTGGGGGCAGATAATACAAGAAGAGGACTCATCATGGGCCCGAGAAGCTCTCAGCCAAATGACGAATGAGAACGAAGAACTCTTCGCAGACTTCTGTGTATTAGATAATTTCGTGGTTGGAGGTAGCGTCTACAAGCACAAGGATAAACACAAAGCGACATGGATTTCACACAACGGACAAACCGAAAACCAGATAGACTTTTGCTCAATGATGCTCAAGTCGTCAGTGGACACGCAGTCAGTCTGCGATATAATGTCCGAAAGGAGGACATATGTGGGATTAGATCACCTGCAACTCGCCCAGAAACACCACCGACGCCACCAGCACGCAAGCAACTGTCTACCAGTGGACACCAATCCTCCAACGAAGGCAGAAATCCTGAATGCGACCAGGCTACTAAAGTCCAGCCGGGAAGTCAGCAGCACCAGACGGAATTCCCCCATCCCGAAGCACTGAAAATCGATCCAGAGACTGGGGCAGATGTCCTCGCCCCATTAATGAATAAGATTCGGAAAGATACGAAGGTTCTTATCGATTTGAAGAAAGGCTACTTCGTCAAGCTGCCACAAAAGGGCGATTTTGGCCTTTGCAAGAACTAGCTTGGAATAATGCTCTGGTCCACCCCAGGGTAAATGCTAAGTCGCATCACCCTGGAGAGAATAAAAGGGTGCACTGGATACCGAACTCCACTAGCCCGGAACAAGCTGGATTTAGAAAAGGCAAATCATGTGATGATCAAATCTCAACTCTACGCATCATCGTTCAACAGACAGCGTATAGAATGGCAGTCAAACCTCAGCTTCAATCTCCTTCAACAGCTTTAAAACGACCTACAACAGACAGCATTGACAGAGATCATTTGGAAACTACCTAAACACTATGGCGTGCAGTTCCCAAGTCTTATCAACCTCATTCAACAGCTGGTTAGATGACAATGTCACATGTTAGGTGATCCACAACGGAAAACTCAGCGAGGCGTTTGAAGTGCATACAGGAGCAAGACAAGGCTGTCTATTATCACTGATGATATTCTAAATTGTGATGGACTGCGTTATGCGTCCGACTGTGGGTAGAGAGGAGACAGGAATACGCCGGACAACCGATAAGAAAACTTTATAAGATTTGAATTTCGCAAGCAGTTTACGTTTAATGTTACAAAAACTCGGAGACTTGCAGATGAGAAATAACGAACTGGCAGAAGAGGCAGCAAAGACAAGAATTTACATGAACACAGAGAAAATGGAGGTAACGAAGATAACCTACCAGCAACAGTAACAACAACAACAAAAACAACAACCAGCACCAATCAACATCAACGGGAGAAATTAGAAAGAGGTCACTCCTTTCAATCATCTTGCCGGGCACCATCATTTTCACTACAGGCGGCAACGATGGGGACGTCAACATCAGAATCGGAAAGCAAACGCGGACCTTCATCACTATCAAATCAGTTTGGAAATCTCTGACATTCAGCATAAACAATAAAATTTGGATTTCCAATGCCAATGTTAAGTCAGTCACTTCTATATGCATTTGAAACTTGGGGCGTCACGAAAAGCATTTCCAACATGCTACTGCAGACTTTTGTCAGCCGCTGACTTCCATGACACCATACTGAGGATCAAATAACCAGTAAGAATTTGCAGCAAGAAACTCTGGGAACATATTGCTCAACAAAATATCCCGAAGAAAATGGAGATGGATAAGACACACGCTAGGCGACCGTCGGATGACGTCGCACATTTCAGTCAAACTCGAATGGTAAACGAAGAGTTGGGCGTCCGAGGTATATTGGCTCCTTGTGTAAAGATAAACAGTTAGGTAGTAGAGCGTGTTCACCAATTCACTTGTTTGAGGAGTCGCATCAGCCAACGCCAGCGAGTTGATAGCTGACGAAATCTCAGCATGGATATAGAAGGCTCGTGTGGTATTTGCCTGCCAACTTACACCACCAGCTGGTTGTCAACCAAAAAGCGTATATGCAGCTCATTAATTCGTTCCGTCCTACTTTACGGCTGGCTGTGAGCAAGACATGGCCACTGAAAGTGGAAGACATGAAAGGGTCGGCTAGCTGTCTTTCATCATAGACATCTGCGTCCTATCTCCCGTGTTAGGTATAATAGGGTGAATGATATTGAGGTTAGGCGTCAGTCAAGTGAGTGCTAGGTGAGGAGAGAAAATCAATCGACGAGGTTGTGAAGTTACATCGATTGAGATTGTTTGGAATTACGTTACGCATGACTGTCTAGACATAGATCGCCTTCCTCGACAATGGGCAATGTTAGCTGACTGACGCAGGATGGATCAAGTTGGAAAGAGCTAGTGGTGGTCAAGCCAAAATATGGCTACACAAGTCAACGAAATCTACAACAGTTAGTTTAAGCCACGTAGGGAGATGTAGGTGACTTCATGGTTGGTGTCCTTCAGATGGTAAAAACAGGTGGCTGGAAGCAATCGGTGATATGGCTCAAAATCGTTGTGTGGCGCTGGTGCACTCACTCTTTATGATTTATCATGTCAAATAAAACTCTACTTTTCTTACGTATTACTATTCTTTTTGCACAACACTTCGATTTATTATCTCACTTTTGAATCTCCCTTTATTATGTTCTCTTGCTTTGTGTGGTACGTGGAGTTTGGCGACTCAAATTGGTGCACATCTATGCAAAGCTCTACATCGAAACCAGTCAGTCATTCATGGGCGTCCGATGATGATATGGAGACGTTTGTGAGAGGAGATGAGAGACTACTACCCAGAAACTGTTGTAGTGAAGATATTCTCCGGTCCATGTTTCTTTTCTGTAGATGGATTTTTCGACCGTACCATAGTTTATTATTCTTGCATTAAGGTCCAGGATATTCAGCTTATCGCTGTGTTCATATTCCATACTGAATTGAATGTTTGGGTGGATCATACTAAGACGGTCAAATTATACAGACGCCTCATTCATTTAGTTACCAATAACAAATGTATCATCGACATATCGACTTCTGTCCTAAAGCTATAAGGGTGGATTAGTAGGGACAATGTACGAAAGAGCCAAGAAGTTATGTTAGCTCAACAAGGTGGAAGAAGAATTAAGCCGTGTGAAAAATTCCTAAGAGGAAATGGGTAACCAACAGGATTTATCCAAAAATAAAGCGAAGAAAAGGACAAGAAAACCAAGCATCCAACTGTTGGAAAGAAGAAAGTGATCATTTGTCTCCCATTCAGAGGAGGAGCGGTATCACAAAACATTGACAAGAGAGTGAAAGGAGAAGTAAAAAGATGCTTCCCTGTGCCTAAGCTCGTAGCACCATACAGTACCACGTGCTCCATAAGCAAGTCTAGACTGGATAAATACCCCACTGATATCACCTCCAACTGAGTCTGTGAATTTACGTGCATTTGCGGGAGCAAGTACACTGCAGGGACAAAAGAATGACTTTCATCCGGTTTCCAGAGCATAACCCAAGAAACTTATGAATTAAAGGACGCAGATATTCGCAAAGTGCAACTAATAGACACCTTGTGGATACGGGCCACTTCGTCAATATTCCTAAATCCTTCAAAATATTAAACGTACAAAGGACGGAAAATTCAATACTATTTGATGAAACAATTGCAATGAAGCGTTTCAAACCAAACTAGTGCACATACAGAAAGAGGATGTAATCAATTTCTCACTACCTTGGTAACTGCATTTTGATTAAATTGATTAGTCATCCATATTAGTGATTTCAACTCACTGAGCAAGTTTTCAATTTTATGAACAATAACCTTCTTCAGTTGCTGTGTAAACCTACATGCTAAAACTGTTTATGAGATTTTTCTGTTTTCTATCTTCTCCTCCACCCCCATCCCACCTGCTTTTCCATTAACTGACGGTAACTTAAGCCGAAAATTCCAGTGCTTACATCTCAGATGCGTTGATTTTATGATGCTTCCTTTACCACTATTCAAACATTGAAATATGTTATTGTCATTATCTATAGGCCTTGTAATTTCAGGTAGTTTGCAGATAATGAGAACCTGTGAAATAGAATGATATCAATTTTAGCTGAGAATCCTCTCTTTCTTTCATTATTGAACCACATTTCTCACTCGTCTGCGGCTTTTTAAAAGGCACCTACAAATCTCAAGTCATATGGAGACAGGATATTCTATTTTTAAAAAAATTTTATTCCAATGATGCTTAGAAATTGAGAGAAAAAAGCTTACCTCCTTTCCGTAATACGTCAGAAGCTCCTGAAATTTTGGAATATCCTAAATGTTAGTTGACTCAACGGAACATTTGCTTACTTTGCATGCTCTGTAGTATATCTTCCCCCTATACTGAACTGTCACGAGGTTTTGTTCCTCATCGAATCTGGCGCAGTTAACAAACTATAGTAAACAAAAACAATGGGAGAAAGTGTTGCAGTAAAAGCTTCTTTTATTTTGTATAACGGGTTGAAGTCTTTTCACTGAAGAGCATAAATAATTACTGACTTTTAATAACATACTCTGCTTATTTTAGCCTCGATGCAACACTGTTTTAATTTGTTCAAGAAACCAGCGCTTCTGACAGTACGCTTAGGTAGTTTATGTATACTTTTCCCTATCGTTATAACTGTCATCAATGCAAGTTGTGGTAGATTATAGTCTCCTTCGCAACAAAGATTCAGTTAGCATTCCTGTCAGAAGATTCCACTTACTTATCTGTGCTTAATACTCGACATCATACAGCAAAATGGTTTAGACCTCAAAATTGAATCACGAAATAAGCAAGTACTAGAAAGTGCATATATTGTGGTCAGAATATATTAACCCTAACACTGGAGGGATTCTGACACCTTAGTCTTAGTTGAAGGAGAATTAACAACTGAGTTAACTGCCACCTCACCACACCACCATGGATTATATATATATATACATTTATTACTATGAAATTTACACATACAGTTGGATTTCATTGCAATTTGGTCAAGCAATGAGGTACCAATAGGAATGAAACGAGAAAAATCAAGTGTGTATATAGAGTAAAATTGCTTTCTTATCAATACACATTACTGCCCAGAAAAACAGAAACACCCAAAAGGAGATTCTGTCATACTGTGAGATACTGTTCTTTTCCTGATACACTAATACCTGCATCTACATCTGACCTACATTCAACTCATCACAACAAGCAGTTCAAAAGAAATCCTACACTTGGGAAATATGCACAGAATAGTGTGTTGATGTAGCATTCACAACATTGTCACTACATCTTCACACAAATAAGGTCGAGTTAAGACAAGGGTGACAATTTTGTAACATATTTTCACTGAAACACGAACTGTTATATTTCAAGAAGACTAACATCACTGTTGGGACTATGTTTCCAAACCGGCAGGTAAAAAGATATATATGTATATAAACAACTGATACTGCAACATTTCGCCCAGTATGAGTGCCTCAGCGTGAAGTCTAATGGATTGATGATCTAATTAACATACAGGGAACCAATACTTGTACTTAAATTATGACTGACAAACCATCGACGCACTCAGTCGTTACACATACGTATTTAAGCCAGGAACCATGTTACCGAAACAAAACTAACCGGCAAGCCGTACACACAAACTTTCTCTTTCTCTCTCAGAATAGCTAACGGTGTTTGACGTAATTGGCAGTGGTGTCACAGTGACAAGAAAGTGAAAATACCTTTCCATGCTCGCAGTGATGTGACCCAGCTTTAAATAGTATATTGTCCTTTCTAACAAATCGTGTGGTTTATCTTGTGATGCAGTTACTATGTTAATCTATCATTTCTCACGAGTATTGTGATTTACTGTGTAATCAATTCATCATTTTTATCTCGCCTCAAGTTTTTCGGACCGTCAACCTATCACGATTGACATTTCCAGTCAATAAGAATAATTCATCCTCGCGGCGATGTATAACATATGATGTTTTGTTTACTAATAAATGTAGAATACAATATCTCAGGGTCACAGACCAGCCTTTGTCTTTTGATATTTGCATGGCTCAGTGAATCAGAAGGTACAACGGACGAATAGGCGTATTAGTGTACCAGTCGAGTTCATTACCGTTATAAAAATATTAACCAGCGCAGACATAACAATTTGGCGACGGGTTTATTCAGTTCAATGCAAAACACAGTATTAAGCATGGCAACTGAGAACCTTCAGAGTCATCGTAGAGAACAATGAGACGATGACTACTAAAAAGTCATACCTTCTATCAAAAGAATAATTAAGGCTTTGTACGGTAAAATCTAACAACTCATTGTCCAATAAGGAATACACAAAATCACATACAAGATCTACAAACAGCTAACAAAAATTTCAGACACAACGTCTAACCAAATCAACTGCATGTAAATACTCTGATTAGTCTACAGAAAACCTCAACATAACTCAACAGTAGACACGAGCATTAAATTAATTCTGTGACGAGAATATAAAGCCTAACGAAAACTAATTTATGAACTTACTCTCAACCAGTTAGAACTTAAACAGTTTCGAGCATCGATCAAGTGTGCCTTGACACCATCTACATTCGCCCTGACAAGCCACGCATAGCCACCACGCGATCTCTGAAATTGATGAAGCAATTGGATTCTTATACAGTGCTTGAAACGAAACATTCATAGTTAAGTAAGATTATAAAAGCACCTCGTGTACAGGCAAAAATGTCAGAGATTTGAGTAGTACAAATTCAGAGACTTACTCTGTCTTTCTCGGAAGTACTCATTTCGTCCAAGTACACGACTTGTCCCCCATATGGACCGAAAACAGTACCACATTCTATCTCTGCATTTGCATACGCGCCAAGCCCTGCACCAGGGATTCGGGACCTTAAAATTTTGACCCATTCCCCAGGTGCAGTTTTCGCCGCATGCTCATAATACGGCTGTCCGCAGACACATTTCGTTTTCTGATGGAATGCATATTTATCCTCTGCCTGTTTACAAACAGCCAAAGGTAAGTTCTCAATCCATCTGACAGGATGGTCGAAACAACCGTCCACCACTGAGCGTTTGCATGTGTAGCAATCTGAATAATACAAAAGGTTGAAGTAAAAATCAGAACAATTCCTATAGAAGGTTTTTAATTGGTTACTTAATTCTACAAAAAAAACCGTATCCTCATGATGACACTTTTAAGAGTAAGGACTTAGTGTTACTAACTATTTGAAGAAACAACAATGACACTTTTTGAAATCACCACATACAACACTTATGTCTATTACGCGACATAATTTCATGCAGGCTTCTATGAGAAATAAATTCTGCATTTCAGTATTTCCACACCAATGGAATGCTTCAAGTACAACTGCTCACTGTTTGCATTTAACTTCAATCGACTGAAACTTAGTTAATCAAATACCATGTTTTCCTTATTTCTACTGCTCATCAGTCCGCTCCGTCCTCCTTTATGGCTCACTGTGAGACCTGGCCACTGAGAGTGGAAGACATGAAAAGACTAGCTGTGTTTGATCATAGGTGCCTGCGTTCTATTTCCCGTGTAAAGTGGCATAATAAGGTGAGCAACATGGAGGTTAGGCGTAGAGTTCTAGGTAAACAGGGGAAATCAATCGACGAAGTCGTGAAGCTACAAAGACTGAGATGGTTAGGACATGTGTTACGTATGCCAAGCCATCGCCTCCCTCAACGAGCTATGTTAGTGGATATAGGGTCAGGCTGGAAAAAAGCTAGCGGCGGTCAAACAAAAACTTGGCATCAGTCAATGAAATCCACAACAGTTGGTCTAAGCCACGTAAGAAGGTGTAGACTTCCAGGCTGGGGTCCTCGGGACGGTAAAAATCTATGGTTGGAAACAATTGGTGACATGGCTCAAAACCGTTCTCAGTGGCGCAGATGCATCCACTCCCTGTGACTTATGATCTTCAATGAAACTGTTTTGTATTTCTTTATTACTCCTTTGTCTCACACCTCTGCTCACTGTTTCTATTATGCTTTTCTTGTACTTTCTTCTCTTGCTTCGCGTGCTACACGGAATGTGGCGACTTGAACTTCCGCACATTTGTGCAAAGTTCTACGTCGAAAACAGACAGACTACCTTCTCCCAAACGTCTCGAGGACTGTGGTACACCTTAAGCATGGATTTAGTGCATACTTATTCACGAGTTACTCAGATGCAGGATAAACTACGCATTCATTTTTAATTTCTACTGATAAAACATGCCATAAAATGTAGTGGAAACGTTCACTATGGAGCCATCAGCTTGATACACTTGACTGACAGACTTAAAAGATAAGTGATTATCACAATCTCAAATTACTTCAAAACTAACAGTCTTTTATTAAAATAAGAGTTGTTTAAACACCTGCTTATCACCTAAGCTTGCAAACACAAAAAAATCAAATCCTATTGTATAACAAGCAAACCTACTTTAAACTATACGAAACTTACACAGGTACCTATCATCTTCGGGGATCTTTATATCTGCAGCGTAGTTTGGCCTTTCTTTGGTTCTCTTCGGATAACGGCTGCCTATAAATTGGTAATCTTTATTATTTTCAGTTATCACCTTCAGAATCGGTAAGCTGCATCAATTTAGGAGTTCCGGAGTGGGCTTCTTTTTCACCTGAGATTTCCCCAGTTGTCCTGCTACATTCACCTCGTAACTTAGGTGCCCACTCATCACCACTGCTTAGGCAGTCACTACCACTATCTGAAGATAGTGGGGACCTTCTTCTTCTTTTTGGCTATTTAAATAATGAAAAATCATTTTAAAATCTGAATACCTTTGAACTGTGTGGAGAGACTACAACATTTGTTGGTTTTCGCTTTGTCAACCTTCTTTTCTTTGACTTTGTACGTGTGCATGAGGCAGATACCTTCGTCTAATTCATCAGAAAATTCAAAAAAATTATATCACATTTGTCAAAGCAAAACAAAAACTAAGGACAACATGCTACAAGAACACTTGAAATGAATTCTCCACTTCAAAATGCATTTTCATATCACATTATTAATTACTTTCCTAAAAGCGCTTTCCTCCACAAGGAAGGGGGTAGGAGGCAATTACGTCAACATGATGTGCAGCCGATTCACTTTCAGGTAGCTGTCAACATTACTTAGTATCATTCACCATGAATTTAAAAAACTAACATTGTCATTTACGAGATAATGGATTTTATTTACTCTCTCCTTTTTGCGTGGTTCTCTAACTTCCGTCCTTAGTGCAGGAAAAGTATTGGCCGGACTATGATTATATTATTCAGGCTATGAATTAACTGGCTTTCAACTGAAGTGCGTCAGTTCAACCTGCCAAAAACCACCTAGAATATGAAGGACCAGCAAAAAAGAGAACTATAATGTACATAAATATACGTAAGAATAGTAGCATGGAAAAACGTGATTGAATGGGAATGAAAGGTCTCAAACAGTGAATGCATCTCTAACATTGAAAACGATTTTGAGCCATGTCACCAACAGTCTCCGGTCATTGGTTCTTAGCACTTCAATGACATCAGCAAGGCAATCCATGCCTTCCTGTATGGGTCATTTCATGTGCATCTAGGTAATTCACTACCTTCCACAGTAAGCGAAACAAATACCTCCAAGAGCCCCAACTAACTGAGTTTTGAAATACAAACAGGTAAACCATAACTCAATTGACGAGAACATGTTTTATTTACTGGGTTATCAGCCACACTAATTGTGCGAATGTCTGAGTGATATTATCCAGCAGCCTAAGCTGAACTAAATGGGGCGTGACTCCTGTTGCCTGTCAAAAGACGTATGCACTACAGAAGAGTTAACCGCATGTTGAGATCTGATGACTTGAAGAGACTGGCCTAGATGGTAAAACAATGCGAGCAATGGCGAGGTTAGCCACACAATATTAGGCATTAATACAAATATAATAACAAAAAGGAGGGTAAGTGAATCAATGAGGCTAAAAGCTGCATCGATTGAAGTGGTCTGGACATGTGTTACGTATGCTAGGCTATCGTCTCCCTTATTGAGTAACCTTAGCTAAAGAGTGTGGGCTGGGAAAGAGTTGAGAGCACTGACACAAACTAGTGGATCTTATCTCCAAATGGTCCCCTTAAAATCCCATACACCACTCGGAGCAGACAATTAAGTTCGTCGTTTTGCTTCTTTACATTCTCTCCCGTCTTACTCTGCTGACAACTCTAACCACTTATTATTGCTATTACTGATATATATATATATATATATGTATATATATATATATATATATATATATATATATATATATATATATATATATATATATATATATATATATATATATATATATATTACAACTTCAAATTTAATCAGCTGTCTGTATTACGTCTTCTTTATTTCTTTTCTCCATCTTTCAGTCTGAATAATCTACACTAATTACATCTGTTATTATTTTTATCATCCCTTTTCTTTTGTCAACCGGAGGACTAACTGGTGAAGGGATCAACTCCATTCACAGTAATACACCCCATACTGCAAACGACACAACTAATCCCAGCACTACTCTTTTTGGAGTCAACCAAAGCTACGACAGTCGATTGGCAAGATGAGCTACGCAGACGCCAGGAGCTTATACCTCACAATCAGGAGGCGAGCACAAAGAAATTAAATTGGTTCATACTAGCTAATAAAAACGATATTTGACATATTGGACTCCCGAAAGAAGTAATGGCTGTGTCATCAACTGACTCATTGAGTAGACGAGTGGAAAACACAGATACATTGTGGAAAATCGTTAACACAGGCCTGATTATCCGTACACTTCATTGCCATCCCGAATCCGAACAGAGAGCTTGTGGTTTCCATGTCTTTAAGAATTGTAGAAAGTGTTCAAGCTAAATCCCAGACAAGAGTTCCCTAAACAACTCAAAATAACACCGTAATAGGCGTACGAAACATCGTTAGAGAATATCCGATGACATAAAGTTAGCGAATTGTGTGGGAGTCATTATATACATAGCAGGGGTAGGCATGAGAGACACACAACTAACTAGTTTAGGCTAACTGTCAAAACCACTGGGCATACTTTGACAAGTTTAGACACAAGGTGCAAGGGAAGCGTATGCGTATTCACAAATCTAATACACACTAGACAAATCTGTGTGATGAAAAACGGAACACTTATCATCTATACGACCGATAGAAACTATCACACTTCTCTTACCTTCCCGATACCATACATTTGTTTAACCCTCTCAGCATCTGAAGATGATATTTCTAAAAGCAAGATAAAAACAGTTAAAATCAACACAAACTAGTGAATTTCTCAAGCAGTTCTAGATTCTCTAAAATGCGCTGTGTTCGCAAACCCTCCATTGCAAAGCCACGCGGAAGTGCACGGAACCGAAACTGAATAGTGACAACTTAAACAATATTCAATATCCAATATTGTGTAATGAACTTCAGCATACAATACACTGTACGCGGTCTACTGCAAGCCACATTATCTCTTTGAGCTGAGTTTATGGTTTTGAGTTGGAAACCCCTGTTATTCAGTAAACTTCAATGAACATTTCCCACCACCCAACTAACTTAAATTAGCTTGATTCGAAGGGGTGGTTCGAGGATAACTGATCTGATGGTGAAATTATGAGGTTGTCTGTTGGGGTTTTAGCAACAGAATGGCGTTTCCTTAGAGCGGTCATCAACCAGCTACACTGCCTCTCTTCTGCTAGAGGGAAGAAAAGAATATTTGGCTCCGAAATGTATGCACTGACTTAACTTGTAGGGGTATGTTTTCAGATTCAGATTCAAATTTATTGGTTGATGATAGAAGGCTTCCAGCCTATGTTAATCCTTTTCTAGTAGATTTCTGTGGTTGTCCAAACCCTTCTTGAAGGAATCAGTTGAGGTTGCAGACACCACTTCTTCTAGGAGTCGGTTCCAAGAGTTTATGACTCGGTGTGAGAACCAGTACTCAACAGCAATATGATTTCTCCTTGGCTTTTGGACTCTCCTGCTATGTCCTCTAAGGTGTTCCGACCTGGTGGGAAGGAAAAGAGAGAATAGGTCAGGTCCGTAGTCATTAGTTAAGACTTTAATCATTGTGATTAAATCTGCTCTCTGCCTACGGTATGACAGTGAGAAGAGATTTAAACTGTCTAGTCTTTCCTCGTAAGATAATTTAGCCATAACGTGAACCATACGTGTTGCCTTCCTTTGAAGACTTTCTAGAATCTGTGAATCCCCTTTTAGACGATGACTGGCGGCCTGGATGCAGTTTTTGAGTATTGACCTCACCAGAGATATATATAAGGAGGTGAATATATCTCCGGTGATTCTAGTAAAGGCTCAGCGAATTGCCCATAAATACCTGAAACTACGTGCAGCCACCGCGCGACAGTGTGCTGTAGTTATTAAGCCGTGGCTAACTATGACATCTAAGTCCAAGTGAGTCTTAATTGATGGGAGTGTTATTCTCTCTAGTCTGTAGGAGCTCGTGCTTGCCTGTCCAATGCGCATGGTTGCATATTTTGCCACATTTGTCAATCACGTCTCATAAACCGTTAATGCCCAGCTCTCGCTACGCTCGGGCCCACGCTGTTCCTTTGAGTTTTCAGAAACGCTTAGTTATAACAGACGAAAAAACCAAAACACCGATCTGCCGCTTGTTATTGGTTTATTGTTACACCAACATATAAAAGGAATAAGCGAACTAAGCAAACTAAGGTCTGTAACGATATTTCACTCTTCTTTCTGAACAGCGACCGATGAGACGATGACTGTCGTATTGATGCCTCCGCGAAAATTGGGGAAGTTGATTTTGAGCAAACAACCAAGAATTGATCGTTCAATCTTCAACTCCATTGACACTCCCCGGCAAAATAGGGATCCAACCCTTTTTTCCTTCAGGATCAATGCACGTTGACTTGGATGCCATTGCGAGAACCTGGGTCACACGGACAGAGCTGAAATGGAAAACAAACAGAAAAGCCAAGACACCACAAGCATACCCACAGCACAATCTCACACATCGCTGACGACCTGCGCCTCCAGACAGAGACCTCCTCTTGACATCTTCCAACACAATCGCCACTTACTAGAATGACTCTTGCAGAATGCAACGTGACCATAGCAGCACCTCATGATACTCTTCAAGCATCCTCTTTTCTATTCACTATCAGTTATCACTGAAATCGCTTGTCACTCATTCTGCCTCAGTTCTAGTAGCGGTGACGCATGCGAGCCTCAGTCGTTTACACTCCTGCTCCCCGGCGTGTCGGACCGCAGCTAACAATTATCTCCGTGTGCATTTCATTCTCAGCAATAGCCTAGCCTCCCCAGCGTATGCGACCCATCTGCTGTCCTTAACATCAATCAATTCATTCATGGATGTAGAAGAGTGGACACAACTTCAGAAGTAATCACGACGAAAATTTTAACAAAATTACGTAATAACAACGAGGTACGAAAACAACAAGTAAACAAAATGAATCCAAAATACACCAATTGATAGGACACACCACACGTATATACAAGCAGTACAAATAACCTCGCGGATCACGTCTTGGTGGAATTCCTTTGAAGAATCACAGGACTTACACCAGTACACTTGCAACCCTTCTCACGTTGACGATTGTAAGTTGTGGAATGTCCGGACACAAACAAGATTAACCAACAATTACATCAATTGGAACTCACACAATTATTTAACACAAACATATGTACAATCACTACATCAAATGTTGTGGATTCCGGCATGACAAACTACTCTTGAAGAACTGTAGGACTTACAGCAGTACACCTACATTCCTTCTCAGGTTGATGATCCAAGTGGAAGTCGTCCGGACACAAACAGAATTACCAACAGCTAGATGACAGATGATATCAATTCAGTATATACAATATGAACATATGCACAAGATCACACACCGAGCACATTGGACTGTTCATTGATGCTCTACCCTTTGAAGAACTGTAGGACTTACAGCAGTACGCCGACAACCCTTCTCAGGTTGACGCCCTAGGTTGGAAAATCTTCGCAGAGTTCATTTGCTAACTTCCTTCTATAAGCTAAATCCTCAAATCTGAACGGCAACACGCTCATGTCATTGTATCGTAGAATATAGATGACTAACAAACACACGGCATATCTCATCAACCAAGCGTAGGTACAGAGTAATTTACACCAAAGATAATAGCATTCAAATAGTAATTTGAAACTCGAAATGCCTTTATTCATGCAAGTCAATTTAACAATTACTCTCTCCTTTACACTTGGCTTATCCACACTAAACTGACCATTGATATTCGTCCTTTCAAAAGGACTGATACTACCATAGTCATTGCACAAGATACTTCAGTTGATGGGTGTCTGTTTCATTGTGGATGACAGCACCAACGATGACTGAGTGACACAAGGTGATGAACTTAACGGTGGATCAGAAGCTGTTCTTGTTCGGCTCTCAGATAGTTGTCCAACTGCAAGATTACCACCACTGCTGTCTTTCACTACTAGTTCGGGTTTAGCACTATCATCTGATGATAGGTGGGCTACATGCTGATCAATTACACTGACTGTCTCACAAGTATGCACACCTTTTGGAACTGCATCTGCGTTCAATTCTACTTCACCTTGTAGTTGTACAGAACCTTTATTTAACTTAGCAGTAGTAGGCATATCCCGCATCTCATAATGATCAACCAAAGACAACTGTGTGCGTCGGTGGCACAGTGGTTAGGACTCTCGCCGACCATGCAAATGGTCTGGGGTTCGAGCCCACGCCGACGCACACCTGATATCTATGGTCGGCCTGCGAATTTTGGGCTACCGATATCCACGCTGAAAATTCCACACTTGTCCCAAAAATACGGTGTGGAATCAAGCTGTAATCAAAAATAAAAAAAATAAAAATAATAATGATCATTATCACGAATATTCACTTTACCGTCAACTTTATCATTTTCAAACTCTTTAATAACAGAAGTAGACAATTTTGGCTCCTCCTCGCAAATTATAAAAGGTTTTATAACTTCACTCTGACTAGTAATACCTTGTAAACTTGTAGGGTCAGAACTGCACTCTGAAGCAGCAACTCTATTCTGTAACACTTTATTCAACAACGGCTTACCAGTTGCAACTACAGACTTCTTCACCGCACCGTTATCGTCACACAATTCGGAGTCAGAACTAGAGTTTACATCTAGCTTATCACTGAACTTGCTCACTGGTTCACAGTTCACTTCTGTATGCACCTCTTGCACACGTGTAAAACAAAACCGTGTTTGTCTTGCATCTTGTAACCTATCAGTTGAGAATGTACTAAGAAACCTGTTACACTCACTAGGTCTATATGCATTACTAGACATCATGGAGCCTTCTCGATATCCGCTCCTCGGAGGCCTACTCGTCATCAATGATTGCATTTTGATCTCAGACTGCTCTATTCTAGGGGTGAGATGTAATAGACTGGCGAACTTGCTCATAGATTGATTGACACTAGTATTTACCAGTTTCAGGATATCATCAAACTTTGGCTCGATACCCTCATCCTCCATACGGGAGCTCATCTTCACCCACTTCCTTTGCAGTCGAGTAGGTAGACGTCTTGCTATTACTTCTAGTATAAAACTCGAGTTGAGGTCACTCATGCTATTCATCGAAATCATTGCATTCTTGTAAATTAGCAAATTATCTAAAAACTCAGTGAGTGCCTTGGAGTCATCTTGAAGTTGACTGCCATTACCTTTGACAGCTTCGTATACGTTCCTTACAGTCATCGAAGGTCTTCCAAACCTTTGACGTAATATGCTCATAGCCTCATCGTAGCCCTCTTTTCGCTTCATAAACTTACAGCACTGTATAGCTCTTGCAGCATCTCCAGTGCAATACCTCATCAAATACATCAATTTCAATTCATCACTTAATAGAAAACTACTCAACATGATCTCAAACTCCTTTACAAATTGTAAATAATCAGCCGGGTTTCCATCAAAACACCGTGGTTCAAATTTAGGGAGTTTGATGTTCCTATTATCCCTGAACGGCGAAACAGTAACATCAACCATGTCATACTTTACATCAGACACATGGTTATAATTAACAGACAAGTCACCATGACTTACTTTCCTGTCTGCATCCAAGACACTCTGTCCATTCTTTGACCCAGGCATTGTTGAACTTGACCCAATTCCAAAAACGTTCCAGATATTGCTTGTTCAAAGAGGACTTGACCGGCACCAGGAAAAATGAACGGCGACTATCCAAACTTTCACCAGCTGATTCAATCCTCCAGAATCTGTTTCTATCGTCAGAAACTGTCAATCACGTCTCATAAACCGTTAATGCCCAGCTCTCGCTACGCTCGGGCCCACGCTGTTCCTTTGAGTTTTCAGAAACGCTTA